AAATCATTAAGGACACTCTATTACCTATAGAATAATGTTAAACTTCTTAGCATGGCATTAAAAGTCTTTATGATCTGTCTTTATAGGCTTCTGCCAATCCCCAGCATATACTTGTATTATGATCAATAATACATTAAACTTTCAAAAAAAAAAAGAGAGAAGAAATCTGTGGTTATTAGAGGTAGGAAAAGGGAAGGGGGATTAGCAAGAAATTGGTTAAGGGTCATACAGATTGATTATGTTTTGGAAATATGAGTATACTAATTATCCTGCCTTAATCACCAACCACATGTTATACACAGGTATTCATATTCAAATGCATATACCACAAATATGTATAATCAATTATGTGTCAATGAAAAAAACTGTCAAAAAAATAAAAACCCAAAGTCCAAAAAATAAATAAATAAATTTATAAAAAATATGTATACTGTGATCATACCAAACACTTGCAATTCCCAGAACAAGCTCTTTTATTCCTAAATGTCTATCCTCTGGCTTTTTCTCCAACCTGGATTGCCATTGCCTTTCTTAACCAGAGAACAAATTCTTACTCAATTTTAGAACCTTGTTCCTAATTTGAAGTCTTCTGTTCATCTAGATAGGTTAGTAGTTCCTTCCATGTAGCTTCCAGAGTACTTTGTGCACTCAGATTTTATCGCATTGTGTTTTCATTATTTGTTCTCTTTGTTTACTCTGTTTTTAGACTGAAGAATCCTTGAAGGCAAAGATGAGATCTTGTTTGATCTAGCACAGGGCCTGGTACTTAGTAGTTGTTCAATAATGCATAGTGTTTTCAAGGACCAAATGTAATTTGTCTTCCAGTTGTGCAGTTAAGTGAGGAAAGGAAATGATCTGGGAGTATCTGTTTTCTTCTCAAAAGTTTGATTTTAGGAAAGTTTATGGATTGAAATGGGAACATAAGATTAACAAATAATTACTTACAAGATAGATACACATTAGGGTAAAAAAAGAGAAATAATTATTGGTTGTCTTTTTTGTCTTTGCAACGGAACCTCACTTTATTTGTATTGTTATTTTACATAGGTAGAAATGGATATTGTTGAAAAACTGGTAAAAATGATACCTTGTGAGCATGAGGATCTACTGAATATCACGCTCCGACTTTTACTAAATCTGTCCTTCGACACAGGACTGAGGAATAAGATGGTACAAGTTGGACTGCTTCCCAAACTCACTGCACTCCTAGGTATGCTTTTTAAAAATTAATGACAGTGTTGTTTGGAATTTCCAACATCATTGGAAAATTGAGCTCTGCGTTGAAAAGCCTACCGAACAAAAAGCATTGTGTATATGTTCTTTGATTGGGAGCTGAATAATAAAAATAAGCAGAATAAGTGAAAAATGACCTATGCCAGGATTTTCATGGTGCTGTAGAATGAAATGGAATAGGAGCTCTTGCCCCTTTGACTTCATTTACCAAAATGAAAATATATAAGTACTATCAGGGAAGCAAGAAAGAAAAAAAATTTTCTCTTCAGCATTTTTTTAAAAAGCAGATATCATTTAAGTTTTTATGTTCCTCCATACTTTTAAAATACTGCTTATGAATACATGAATTTGTGGAAATTTTTTGTCATTAAATAAAAAAGGGTATTTTATTTTTGCATAGCATTAGTTAGAAAATATTGTATTAGAGGATTCATTTTATAATAATTTATTTTGTTTTACCTACTAGCAAGATAGTTATCTATAGCAATGATGAGTTCAGTACTTAATGCTTCTGTGCTGTCAACATAATGCAAACCTTCTTAGCAGAGCAGTGAGAACCCTTTAGGAACTATCCGATGTCTATCTTCATAGGCACCTGCCACTCCCCAACATACACTTTGTACTGTGGCCATACTGAAGCACTTGCAGTTCCCTAAACAAGTTCTTTTATGCCTAAGTGCCTGTCCACCCACTTTTTTTCCTCTACCTGCAGTGCCATTGCCTTTCTTAACCAGAAAGCAAATTCTTCCTCATCTTTTAACACTTTGTTTCTTTGTTTCAGTACTGAAGTTTTATTATTTTTTACAGCTTTCTTCATATATTCAAATAATGCATAAGAATGTTTTTACACATTTTAGAAGATACTATATTATGAGGAATTTTCAAAAATTGCTTCCAAACAAAACAATGAAGCCATTTAGGGAGGGAAAAGGAGAGCTTTAAAAGTAAAATTGACCTTGAGTTTAATTTATGTGATCATTTATCATAAATTTGACATAATTGTGTGTTAAGTATTAGGTCAGATTCTCATTGTATGAAGATGAATAAGTTATGGCCATCGTCTTGAAGGAATTAAGAGTCTATTTAGTTTATTCAGTATTCAGTCATCTACTTTTATGAAATATTTGCCTTGTAATATAAGATGAAATAAATTACTTAAAAGGGAGTTCTGGGAAATTACTCACATCATACCCATGTCATAATTTAACAAGTATTAAATTGTGTGATACAAGATATAATATCCAATACATAAATTAATATTTCTCTCATCTCTTCTGTAGCTTAATTTCTAGAGTCAGACTGCCTTATTAGAATTATGACTCTTTAGTTTTAACCTTGTTACCTTGGGAAAGTTACCCAAACTCTTTGTGACTCAGTTTCCTCATCTCTAAAATGAGGAGAATAATTATGTACAACTTATAATTCTTTTGAAGATTAAATGAGGTATTGCATGCAAAGTGCTTGGAACAGTACCTGACAAATAGCATTTTCTTAATAAATGTTGGCTGTTATTATCCTTTTTCATATGAGCATTATTATCATTGTTTGATATAAAGTAGAGATTCTTTAAGTGTTGCTGACTTATCTTTCTGAGTACAAATACCCTTATAGGTATTAAATTTTTGTTGACAATCTAGGTAGCTTTATTTGTTTTTGCTTCCCTGTGTGTACAGTTCAATTGAATTTAATTCAGTAAAATCGTGATAATCTACTATGGCAAAGCACAGCATTTAGCCGTATAGAGAAATGTTTTTCAACATGAAGGTATATTGGGATTCAAAGGAGAGAACATTTCTGTATTGATACTTCATAGATAAGGTGCCATTTGAAATGGACACTGAAAATTTTGTCATTTTAACAGGGTGATATTTACAACAGAGTAAGAATATAGGCTATAGAATTGGTCAACATTACCTAAGGCATAGATGGAGCTGGGTCAGTATGAGGAACAATAAATTGCCATTTCAACTTGAGCATAGATCATGACTTAGAAAAAGTGAGATATGACAGGTCTGGAAAAACAGGTTTATGCTCTCACATGGTATTATGAAGCTTAAGGCATAGCTAAGAAGTTTATACTTAATAAAGCTAATGATGGGAATTGCTGCAGGTTTTTGAGCTGGGTGAGTTATAACCAGTCCCCTGCTCTAAAGAAGTTAATCTGACATTATTCTGTTAAATGGACTAGAACTTGAATCTAAAGATAAGACCGATAGCCTATTGTAGCATGCAAAACAAGGAGTAAGAAAACCTTAATTAGAGAAGAGGTAGTGTGGCAGGAATGAGGCAAGAGGAAAGGGCAAAAGGTAGAAATAATATAGTTACTTAGCCTATTGTAGCATGCAAAACAAGGAGTAAGAAAACCTTAATTAGAGAAGAGGTAGTGTGACAGGAATGAGGCAAGAGGAAAGGGCAAAAGGTAGAAATAATATAGTTACTGTTAGGGTGTGGTTAATGATAGAGAGAAAAAGATGTCATTAAATTAATGACTATTAGAATGCTAGTGCCAGGAACAGAAATAGAGAAGTATGAAAGAAGTGGTTTGAGGATGTCAGTGATGAGTTTAATTTGAGACATGTTGGAGACATCGTAGACAAAGATTTGACAAAGTGGGCAGATAGAAACATAAATCTAGAGCTCCGGAGAGGTAAGTATTAAAAAATAAAAAATTGCCCAATAGATGAATAAAAGTTGAAAGACAAAACCACTAAAGGAGACATAACAGAGAAATATGCTTATCTTTAAACAAATATACAAAAATATAATGTTAAGGCTGTTACTGAGAATTGATGGTGATCTTGGAATCTTCATCCAGTAGAGAAATGAGGAAACTGAGTAAGAAGAGCAACTGAAAACTTCTACCTCCTTTAGGGTCATCCTTTCAGTGTTGCTTCATCATTTTCTTTGAAATATTATGGATTCCTAGGGCATGTACTAGCGATACTAAAAACTCTAGAGATGGATGATCTTAAGAGTTTCCATCTTTGTTCCTGGCTGATTTGTAAAAGCTGCTGAAAGCGAAATGATTCTGTTGAGACACGATCAGCTCTGTCCTAGTGACCTCTTGGCTTATCATTCTATGATAAATAAAATAAATGGCCAAATAACATTCCACATAAAAATATCCACAAAAATTTTCTTGGAGAATAAACAAAAAAATGTATAATAAAAGGTGTTATGACTTGTATATTTATTAAAAGCAATGAGAAAGTAGGTTACAGCCCGGTTCTTTTGCCCTGTGAGAAACTAATATTCATTTATAAACTCGTGACAACTTGTGATCTATCTGAAGACTAAAGGTTACAGCCCGGTTCTTTTGCCCTGTGAGAAACTAATATTCATTTATAAACTCGTGACAATTTGTGATCTATCTGAAGACTAAGTAGACTCTAAGGTCATTCCAGTTTAGATAAGGATTCAGTATTTCTTCATCCTCTCTTTTTTTTTCTCTCTTTATCATTGCTCACATGTCATTGAATTTCAACTTAGAAAAAAAATTTTTTTCAAATGTTCACATCTTTTGCTTAGTAATTTTCTTTAGTTCCTCCTTTTCATTCTACTTACAAGCCCTGGAAGCAAAGGCAATCATTAATAGTAAGCAACAGAGAATATTTACTGATATTCCAGGATCAAGGAAAGGGGGAAATGTACATTTTGAAGAGAAATTAAAATAAACTAGAGAACTGGGCCTTCAACTCCTATAAAACATTTCAAAAAGTCTACAAATTTTACTTATTTTATTTTTTTAATGATTTTAATGGCATTATTATTTTCTGCTCTTTTTCATTTAAATTATGAGTTAAATAACCTTCTGCAGGCTCTTTATTAGGTGAGCCTATGAAAAAAACATGTTCCAAATTCCAAGTAACTGATTCAATATGAATTCTTGGAACACAGCCATTTGTAAACCTCATAATCATTTCTATTTTATAATGTCTAAAAAGTGGCCCTTTTACCCATCCCTTCCTAGAAAAAAACCTGTCTATTAAATGTATTAGTCAGGAGGACAAAGTTATTATTATTAATAAACAACCCTAAGATCTCAGTGTCTTAAAATACAACAGAGCTTTATTTCCTGCTTATATTATATGTCCATTTTGGATGACTAAAGAGTGCTGGTTCATGTTAGCATCAGTCAAGAACCCGGACTAACAGAGCCTCTAGGTCACATGGCACTGAGGAAAGGACAAAGAATATGGGGAATTGCAAACTTCTTTTAAAGGCTTTCATTCTGAAGGGAAAAATATTTTTGCTTACATTCTGTTGACAAAAACAAGTCTCATGGGCATGCCTAACTTCAACAGGACAGGCATAAAATGGAAGCTTGGTGAGCAAGCAGCCAAATGATCCTGAAAGTTATTTTTCAATTTTTCTGAATTTTAGCTGGGGTTCCAGATTACCAGAATCTCTTAAATAGTACATCCTGAGACAGCATAGCAAATCCTATCATATATATTCCATCTAGCAACTGTGGTAGCACAGAGCACATTGATTAAAGCTAGGATTGTGGTACCAAACATGACTTTGAATATTGGCTTTATCAAATGCCATGCAATTACTTAAACTATATATCAGTTATCTCATCTCTATATGTGGATAATAATGCTACATATTAATAGATAAGAATTAAATGAGATAGTGCAGCAAATATTAGGAAATTATAAATATGTGAAATTATTGTCAAAATACATAGAATAGAAAACAAACAAAAAAAGATGTCCAGAAATGAGTCCTTTTTGATGTTTTCCAGGCTTATGCCATTAAGGGTATTTAATCATTTTACATGAAGTTGTCTTAGTCTATTTAGGTTGCTATGACGGAGTACCATAGACTGGGTGACTTATAAACAGCAGAAATTTATTTCTCACAGTTCTGAAGGCTGGGAAGTCCAAGATTAAGGCACCAGCAGATTCAGTGTCTGGTGACTCTGGTGACTCTTTTCTGAAAGGTTTACACACAGCCATTTGCTCACTGTGT